TTTTTTTTTTTTTTTTTTCATATCTATTTTATTCAGGCTTGGCGAGCAACTATTGCGTATTGTATTCTACAATCCCTCTTGGTATGTTCAGGTCTGCCTTGACCTACAAAGCAGGAGAAGTCAACACTTTTTTAGGTGAGTGTCTAATTAAGTTCAAGGCCTTCTTATACTCCTGAGGTTAGCACCACACCCGCCTGAGTACACGAAACGAGCAAAAGTAGCTACAAGTAGCAAGAAATGTACCAGGGAACGTGTAGGGGAATGCATACACTTTCTATGCAGATATGATTACAAGTTATATGTAACTGGAAAGTTTCAAATATCTAATTTGTTGACATGAACGAAGTCAAATTGCTGTTCATTGTACTAACACGTCTTCATTGGTATGAACGTGTTGTGCCTTATATAGTGCGTTGATATTAAACTTTAGTCGAAACAAAAGGTTGCGTTTTCGTCAATCATGTCGTTTTTGAACATTTTGTTAGGTGAAACATGGCATTAACTGTTCAAACTAAACTCTGAAGTGCAAATGAAACCAATCAACCTTTTTATTTGTTTTCTTTTCATTTCAGCGTGGCAGCGATGGAAAAGTTTATATTCACGCAGAATCCGGTTGAACTCGCCAAACTGACAGGTAACCATTATTTCACAGATTTTTTCAATCATCAATTTTTCTTTTCCTGTCTGGTAACAGTGACTGCGTTCATGCCAGTTTTCTCATACCAGCAAAAACTTTTTTAGTTTACGGATAAAACGATAATTAAAGTGATAGGTTATCAGGTACTTTAATTCAATGAATTATAAATTTTATAGTATATATAAACAATAGCCTCCATTTGACGCGAAAGTATGCTCGGATATTTGTCCTTGGACATTATCTGTTCCGAGAAGCAACAGTTTACCAAGAGCGTAGCTCGAGGAAAACTGTGAGCTCTGAGGAACTGATAATGTCCAAGGACAAATATCCGACCATATTTTCAAAGTCAAATGGAGGCTATTGTGTTTATTATCCTTTAAATATTTTTCGCAACACGCGCTCTTTTGAAAATTGCGGAAAATTCTAGGATATTTCCTAGTATTAGCTGGGGAATATTCGGTCACGTGACGAGTTTAGACCAATCGCGCGCGAGCGAAATTATTTGATGAATTATGTATTACATAACATTCTATTCAGGTTTTGCTGTTTATTCTACTTTCAGGTTTTCCCGGACAAATTAAAGTGTAACTTCTTGGCCTGTAATTAAATTGTAAAAATAATAAAAATCACACGACGCAGTGACATGTAAAATTCTTATTCAAGTAAAGTAAAAGTACAAAATAAAAACCAACTTAGTCTTAGCAGGAACATTTTAGAGTGTACTCAGTTTTTGAGTTGAATCCTTAAAGTAAAGCTAGAATAGTGAAAACATGAGCACGGGGTGTGACAATTCTAATAAAAGCTGCTTGAAAAGTAATATCTACTGGTAAGGTCGCATCAAAATTTCTGAGCAGAATTCTAATCCAGTACGATTCCTTTGATTCTTGGCCAAAATATTTTGTTCGTCGGAAACAGAACTTATTAAAGTTGTCACCCCATGTGATAAAAAAAAAAACACTGTAATCTATGAAATTTATCTAAGAATACAGCCATTCACTGTAATTTATAAAGTTCATGTCTTAGGAAATTAACTATTACATGTAACTAAGGAATTCAGCTTCGTTTCTTCAACTTCCTAAATAAACTAGTGATTTTATAAAAACACAGCTTTTTGCCCTCTTGATTGTGAAATAGGTTGGATTATTTATTATTAAAGCTGAAATCTGTTTCTGAAGTCATATTTTATAGAGTATTCTCCTTTGTTATTAAAGTTTAGGTGACTCATATCGACGTTTAATTTAACTTGTTTAATTTAAGTGAAATATTCAAGTGTGTAAATCAAGAACTGATGAGATGGCAAGTACATCAATCTTGAAATTAAATCGTCTTTTCAATTCTTTATTTTTTCAATGCTGTATAACACATTTTTTTTCTTAAATTAATAAATCATTTGAAACAGAAGAAGCTGCTTGTGTTGTCTTTGTTCTATATGTAATACGAAAGAGGGCGTTTAAAACAGTATTAAGGTGGCTCAAAACAGTTTCTAGCTGTTAGATTTTGATGGGTCATTATAACCACTCTTCATCACTTGATCCTACTATCATGGTATCAAAAACTTCCCAATCATTGGTGAACACGTTGTTATCATTTTTGCGACACAATAGGTTACCATAGCAGCCGNAACATTCTATTCAGGTTTTGCTGTTTATTCTACTTTCAGGTTTTCCCGGACAAATTAAAGTGTAACTTCTTGGCCTGTAATTAATTTAAATTGTAAAAATAATAAAAATCACACGACGCAGTGGCATGTAAAATTTTTATTTAAGTAAAGTAAAGTAAAAGTACAAAATAAAAACCAACTTAGTCTTAGCAGTAACATTAGAGAGGAAATGTAGTTTTTTGAGTTGAATCCTTAAAGTAAAGCTAGAACGGGGTGTGACAATTCTAATAAAAGCTGCTTGAAAAGTATACCTACTAGTGAAGGTCGCCTCAAAATTTCTGAGCATAATTCTAATCCAGTATCCTGATTTCTTTGGCTTTTGTCTAAAATATTTTGTTCGTCCGAAACAGAGCTTATTAAAGTTGTTACCCCATGTGATCGAAACAAACCGTAATCTATGAAATTTATCAAAGAAAACAGCCATTCACTGTAATTTATAAAGTTCATGTCTTAGGAAATTAACTGTTACATGTAACTAAGGAATTCAGCTTCGTTTCTTTAACTTCCTAAATAAACAATTAATTTTATAAAAACACAACTTTTTGCCTTCTTGAGTGTTTGATTATTTATTATTAAAGCTGAGACATTATTAAAGCTGATATTGAAGTTTACTGACTCATATCAATGTTTGAGATAAACTTGTTTAATTCAAGTGAAATATTCATGTGTGTAACTCAAGAACTGATGAGATGGCAAGTACATCAACCTTGAATTTAAATCCTCTTTTCAATTCTTTATTTTTTGTATAACACTTTTTCCCTTGAATTAATAAATCATTTGAAACAAAAGAAGTTGCTTGTGTTGTCTTTGCTCTATATGTGATACGAAAGAAGTTAGGAGGGCGTTTAAAATAGTATTAAGGTGTAGGGTATCCCCCGGTGGGGTGTCTAAACAATAGAGCCGATATTATATGAATTCTTGTTTTTCTGGGAGCAAACGAACTGTCCAAAATATATATATGTTATTTGCCGGCTGGGAGATCCGACCCTAAGCCGGCAAATAACACGTTTATTTTTTTTCC